TTGTTTACAAATTACTTTTCGCAATTATCATTAGTTCTTACCATGCTTATAGCGTTATGGCATTGTATCAACTACTTTCTGCACCAACATAGAGCTTTAACAAAACAAACATCTTTCTCTTAATTGTATGCATTACGCATTTACAATAATTAGATTGCTGTAATGTGTATTATGTTTCAGACAGAAATAAATATCGATGGTTTCATATTAAAATACTTACACATCTGCATGTCTCCACAGGATTACGGCATCCCTTAAACATATCAATATAGGGCGATTAAAATATTGTTAATTCCATGTCAAAGAAATGTTTTATGGAAGTTGATTCACCAAAAAGTATGAACACTGAGTGACTAACAATGTTTATAAAAGCTTAATTAAGCTGAGTTTCGTATCAGACTGGGATTTTTTTGGCACGAACTTCCTTATCAACTAAAACACCCATTTATTCAAAAACGCTTAAGAATAACAAACATAGAAAATGTGAGCTATTAGAACAAAATACTTATTATTCCTTTTTTCCCTCTAATGCTTGCTTACTTTCATGAACTTAAGATAAGAAGTTAAAGCTAGATACATTTGAAATAACATGATACCATGATATAGAGAACGATTTTTTGTTGGGGCCATTCTAGGAATGCAGCTGTTATTCTTCTATGAAACGTTGGATTTTTTTACTTCCTACATTTGGGGCATCACACCCGACCAACTATGTATAATTCTGCTATCGAACAAAGTATTGAGATGCTACAAAATATTTTAAAAGTTTCAGCTGGTGGTAAAAAGCTGTAATAAACATGTTATATATATTCTAAGTTTCAGCTGGTGGTTAAAAGCCATAAAAACATGTTATATCTATTCTACTAAGGCACATTATATATGAATTATTGGATAGGAAGTATCTAATATACTCGTAAATCAAGTCGATGGTAGCATTTCATTGTCTTCTCTCTGCTGGCCTGTCTCCATTAAATCATAGGAACAGATGTAACTACTACAATATTCTCAGAGTTAAGAAAAACAAAACACATCGGTATTTTTAACATGGGTCAGATACGTTATAGATTTCCAGTTTCATATTGCATAATAAGAAACAAGTGCATCATCTGATTGTTTTCCATAGTGCACAGAAATTCTAGAAAAATGCATTAAGTTTCAAGCTATGGTTGCAGACACGTTTTTCACGGATTACTTATATTCATTTTACTGATAATCGGCACTATACTATATTGCCACTGATAAACACCTTAGAATAAAGATACTATGACAGAATGGCTTAAGAAATCAGAAAAGAATGTATGGTTATGGTAGCCAAAACTCCCTATCAAAGGAGTCATGTTAGTGACTTGCAGACTCTTTTGTATGCCATATAAACTTCACCATTGAATCGAAGGATAACCCCTCCCTTCTATACTGCTACTGCATCATTCTTTCAGTTCAATGTTTTCTTTCACACTCGGGACATTGTATGTCTCTCTCAATTCACTCCATTAGGAAAATGTAACACCAGGAATTTTAACATTATCCCTCTGCTCTCTCTATCTAGGTTATGTGAGAATCACTTGTTGCTTATTATAATAATGCTTAATGATTTAAGTAACAATTATTTATGCTAATGTTCAAGGTCTAAAGGATAATGTAAAAAAGAAAAGATGTCTTTTCATACTTTAAATCCATGAGTTTTGGTATAAATTGTCTTCAAGACATCCACTTCATAGAGGAAACGCAAAATTATATTCAAAACGATGCGACTTTGTTACTTTAGTTCTTTTAGGTCAAATGGGAGGGATGTAGCAATATTGATTGCTTTTGAAATAAAGGTTAAAAGGGAGAAAATGGATTTATCAGGTAACTTTTTAGCATTTGATATTGAGATGGAGGGTTCCAAAATTACTTTGATCACACTTCATGGTCCAAACACTGATACACCTTGCTTTTATGATATTATACCAGAAACAATTGATGACTTTGGTAATAATAGATACACAATATGCGGTGATTTTAATTTAGTGCTAAATCCTGAGCTAGACTATGATAAGAGCTACAGGAATATCAGTAACCCAAAAGCTAGGGAGAAAGTGTTAGAAAATTACACACTGGTTGATATTTTAAGATAGTAAGAGGTATACATGGAGAAGGAAAACCCCACTGAAACAGGCAAGGTTAGAATTTTATCTTCTATCTGAAAATTTACTGCTTGGTGTTGGAAAGCTTATATTAAAATTGGATATAGGTCTGATCACTCCAATCATTGTTTTGAAATAAAATGAATTTAGGCGAGGGAAAGGACAATGAAAATCCAACTCATCTCTTTTGTATGATATGAAATATCTTAAAATGGTAAAGCAAACAAGTTTAGTTGTAAAAGTTCAATATTCTGTACCTGTGTATGAAATCAACAACATAGCAGACATTCCAGATTCAGATATCAATTTCCTAAATGACGATCAGATTTAGATTTGTTTAGAAACACTTTCAATGAAAATAAGGGGGAGGGGGGAGTATTTGATACGCAGCTTACACAAAGAAAAACGGAACATACTTTGAAGGCAGAAATATATGAAATTGGAGGGGGGGGGTATGGACAAACAAATACCAAAGATAGAGAAATCAAATATGACTATCACAAATCAAGATGAAATACTAGGGGAGGTTCATGCGTTTTATGAAAAGTTATATGATGATAAACAAATACATCTTGTTACAAGTGATGTTCCTAAATCAGACAATACGGAGTCTGAAAACTCAGAAGGGTTTCTGACATTAGAAGCTACAAAAACTTTAAAAAGGTATGAACAACAATAAAAACCCGGGCTCAGATGGTTTTCGTGTAGAATGTTTAAAGTGTCTTTGGAAACAGCTTGGTATATCTCATAGAAAATGTATTACCAAAGTCTTAAAGCATTTTAATTTTGGTTCAAGTATTAGCAACTGAGTTAAATTGTTCTACATTGAAGCCAGTTCTAGAATTAATCAGGGAGGGAATTTGTCTTTTTTTCTAACTATAAAAAGAGTTGTCGTCAAGGCGACCCGATCATGCCATATATCTTCATTCTGTGTATAGAAATATTAGGTGCTAGGGTTAGAAATAACAAAACTATTAAGTGTATATGAGTAAATAACATTTCAATTCGTATCACTCAGTATGCGGATGATACATCTCTGATTTTAGATGGTAAAGACCAGTCACTTAAGGAATCTATCGAAGGATTAAATACTTTGCAAAGATTTTTTATTTAAAACTTAATAAAGACAAAACACTGGTGATTTGGATAGAAAGTAAAATATTAAGCCAAAACACATTTCTACCAGAGGTAAACTTGCAATGGGGAAAGAACATATTTACTCTATTAGGAATTTAGTGTTTAGAGTAAACCAATATGAGGTCCCAAAATTAAACTTTGATAAAAACTTAATTAAACTCAAATCACTTATACAGACATGGGGCAGAAGGAATTTTACACCTATAGGAAAAGAATTTCCAGATAAAATCTTTAATGTTACCACAGTTTAACCACTTATTTATTTCACTGTCAAATTCTGATGACCATTTCTTGAATAACTTAAATACCATTCTTTATCATTTGTTTGTGGAACAGTAAAACAGATAAAGTTAAGAGAGATATTATTATCCAAGATTGAGGTGAAGGGGACTTAAAAGGGTCAATGTATGATCTTTGATTTATTCTTTAAAACTGGGAAGGATAAGGAAATTATATCATAAATCAGGTAATAAGCAAGTAATTTTGAAATTGTATATAAATTGACACATGTTGTCTAACGGTGGAAGTGATTACATCAAGGTTTGTTTAAGTAGATTTGATAGCAAATTTTGGGAAGATGTACATACTGCTTGGACAAAATTGAATCTCACAGATGGGGTAAGTTATATGCAGGAAAAACATGTCTTGAAAACAACACCATTATAAATGAAAAAAAAACATTGATAATCTCACGTTTTATCCTCCAGTCGAATTTACTCAATTATACCAACTTAACTCTAACTTCCTTAAATATCATGGTATATTATATATGTGGAACGAAATATATATATAAGATTCCCTTTTCAGTAACAAAAAATACAAAACTATAGTGTTTTCAATTGAGATTAGTTCACCATATTTAACACACAAATTCTTTAATGTTTAAACTGGGATTATCAGTTACCCCGCTCTGTCCCCTTTGTAATGGAGAGAAAGAAACAATAATTCATATCATGTTGGAATGTCGAGAAGTGCAGAATTTTTGCAAAACCTAGAAACACTGTTGCATCTATTAGTTCCTTCATGTTCCTTCAACACAGAAACATTTGTTTTCGGTTGGGTTCTTGATACAATACCATAAACAGACAAGTAATATAACTGACACTGCAATTGTACTTATTGTCGAACACTATGTTTACAAAAGGCTTAGTATAAACAAACTAGTAAACAACATAAGGACTATTTACTGTAGAAAAATATATGGTGTACAGTCAAGATGGTTCGGAAAAATAAAACTTTTAAATGAATGGAGGAAATGGAAGAAATGTATAGATCTTACAGACTAGGGTATATAGTTAACGCTTATTAATTATGTTTCTGGAACTCCTCGTCATATTTTGATGAAAACATCCCCTAGACCTAAAAACACACTGTATCAATATTCTGTTGTAGCGACAGAAATTGTTTGTACTTTTCAAAATAGTTTTTAAAGTGACACAAGATGTTTTCTATTCTTTTTTTTCCCCGCGATCTCTCTCCATCTCTCTGTATCATACCTGTGTCTATGAGTAAAAGTGTTGAACATATGTGTATAGATATAAATTTAATGATGATAACATTCGGTGATCACTATAAAGAATTAAATGTCAATCTACGAGGTAAATTCATAATCAATTTCTGACGATGATAATGATAATGTTGACTGATAAAAAAGATGGAATGATCACATGATGATTTTGATTAATATTTGAAATATATATATGACGGTGATGAATCGTTTTTGATGATGACTAAGCATGATTGATTAATTACATGACATTTGATGATGATGATGATGATGATGATGATGATGATGATGATGATGATGATATCGAATTGATTATATGGGTGAATGTTGGTGTGCTGTTTGTAATCTTGTTTCTTATTTACTTTGCGAAAGTTTTGAAAAAATACATATACAAAAAAATATTGTACTAAATAAAATAACCAATTAAAAAGTAATATCCACGAAAACAAAAGCCGTTTATATTATCTCGTCAAATAATCATTTTCTGGTAACCTCCCATATGCCCCGAAAAATTCCCTAGCGCAACCCTTTCCGAATATCACATTACCTGATTCTCATTTGCATTGGTATTATTTTTTAATTTACAGCCATATACAGGATTAGCTGTAAATGATGTACCTCATTGTAGATAGGTTGTTTTTCTTTTCCAAAGCAGCCACATTTTCAGTTAATGCAAAATTTTTGACGGAATAACTTTACATAATTACCCGGCAATGTTCAAGTTTCTCACACATTCACTGTTCATTATTCTATTGAAATTGCCAAATTTAGTGACATATCCTGGCAAAGGTTTCGCAAGTAACTCTTTAAACCTCATATAAGAACTCTCACAAACAAACACGTCGTAAACTGAGCATCGATAATATTAATTTTGACATTACAGAACAGCCAGGTTTCTTTATTTATATATATATTATCCCAGTTGCTGAATACATAATCATCTCTAGGACTACAGCATACTTCTAGGACAAATCCCTTAGGACCATGGAAATTGAAACTGCATTTGTGTTTGTCGTCATGCGGTGGTGTTAACATTATAATTACATATGATGCCTCACCAACCATATACGAAAAAAATAAACATCACACAAATGTACTAATATGTCAGTCGGTGAAAACTAAGCACGGCAGTTGTTAACAACGTGACGTCATTAGAATATTGACAATGCAACAATGTAGTTTTATTAATAAACTTGTGATCTGCAGACTTGAGAGTATCATCAACTTTCTGGCGTGTATTTGAAAGTTGGTGTGGGCCTAACACGTCAGAAAAACGCTACATTATATTAACATGTGAACAAATTATTTACAAAAATGTTGGATACGGATAGACTATAAAAATACATTGAAATTTAGTCTTAACTTCCTGTGATAGATAGACACAAATGTATACAGGCTATTGGTTTCCCCAAGTCCCAGCCCCAACCATAAGGGAAAGGTGTAATAAAACAAAGTTGAATAAGGGAATATATATATTATTATTTCTCGTGGTATAGTCAGATTTCTGACTATCTTACCAGATTCAATTTATGTGTTGATTATTTTCATATTTGATCTGAAGTATTTTCGTGAATCAATGTTGCATAAACAAAGTGTGTAAACTCCTTTGTCTAGAGCAATGAGGAGTACAGACAGGGTGTAATAAATTAGAAAAATCGAGTCCATTTTCTTCTGTTCATCTCAGAATGTATATCGTATTACATCATGACTCTAGGCATTTGCTTGCTCTGTGAAGTTGTAGAAGTTCTTAACATGTGCCCTTGATAGAAGGACAAATTAATCAAATTGTATAATGCATTTGTTCAGCATCCCTTTATCCCCCTTGCCTTTTAAATGTTCATCAAATGTCTTTTGGATAATTTATCACATATGTACCAAATTATTTGTAGTTGCTTTCATTCATGCATATTACTGACCAAGTATCATTTCAAAACTTCCAGCCAATATGACACACTTGAAATTTGATGATCTCGTTCGGGTGAACCAAATAAGTAAATATGTAATCATGTTTCGTCAAATTATGTCTGTGGGGTTGTTTCTACCGATCGTGTTTTTCTGTTTTATAGATTAATCGTGCTTTACCGAATCGAACATGTGACATTTGAACTGACACATGTTATTCCATACAGGTTAGGTACTGCCATACATAACATACCCCTGACGTAATAAATTTAAATATATTCCACATTGATATAATTACGTCGGTATTGCAAAAGAATCAACTTATTTTTATGAACCAATATGCAATAGATATTTTCCAATAATGGCAAGAACTGACAAACACCCGATAATAAATAAAACTAATGTGTTTATTATTTCTTTGTGATCTGGAATTTAATATATATGCCGTGAGTGCAGATTATTACGAATCAAATTATATTCTAGAATTGCAATGAAATAAAATACACGTGTCCACTCACCTCACATTGCTGGCGTTTCTGCAACACAAACACAGGAAGAAATCAAATAACAATTAACAATTTCTACTTCAAATATATGGGACATTACATATAAAAATATCTGATAATAACAGTGCATGGAACAAGTCTAGTTCATATTTTGAAAAAAGTATCAATTTAGCTTATGAATGCTCTCTGAAAACATCTTTAATGGACATACGATTTTAACAAAAAATAAAAAAAACATATTGTTAATTAATATGTTACAGGCAATGAACTTCGAACAAATTACATCCTCGTAGTAAGACCAAAGGATATGCCAAGTTCCATTAATTTCCAATTTCTATATTTAATTGAAAGCAAAGTTATGATACGGAATAAAAAAAATAACAAAGTACACTAACTCTGTGATTGAGGTGTTGTAGCTTTTGCATTTAGTACACTATGATTAATCTTAGTAGGGTCATATTTCATTATTCTAGTTCATATGCAAAGTTATCTTCCGGACACGGTATTTCAGTGAATTGTAGTCGAGGACTGATAGGCCTTGACGACTTTGATACATTTGGTTTGGTTAATATATACACTGTGTTCCATTATCCTTGCTTTACTTTTGGTTATGATCCGGATACAAAAAAGGCAGTAGCTTAGTGATTATGAAGATTCATTATCCTATTTCAAATGCAAGCTCAGTTATGCTTCGAACATTAAAGTTTAATAAAGGACAATAACTCAAGGAATTGCAGGTCCTAATATTGGTACACTGTCGACTGCCTTGCCTCGGTATGACCAATGTATAAACCAAGTATCAGAATACCAGCATTACTTTGGGCAAAGTTATAATCTGCACACGAAAGCACAGGCCGACAGACAAAGTGGAAGTAAGATGGCCCCTACTCCTCCAAACGTTTTTGGAAACATAGTAAAGCAATGATCAATTGTCATTCATCCTAGCGTTACTTGAATTCATCAATTGGAGGTCCTATAATGAAAAAAATCTTACTTTCAATTCCATAATTTCCTGCTGCTCAGATTGTGCTCGTAATTCAGCCATTGATCTAAAGACAAAATGAAAATAAATAAAGTTAATGTGTAAGTAGTAATAAGTGTTATAACGCATTTGATTGTAACATTATGTCAGTTACTACCATCATGCATCGAGGAGATAATTCTGAGTTTAGATACATTTGTTGCGATATTTATGAAATTCAATTAAAATTAAAATTTAAAACCATTTAAAATGTGATGACTTTTGGAGTTTGTAGTGATAATATGGTAGGGTTCATATGTTGCCAATACCCAGATGTTGAAAATGCCGTTCATTTTTTATATTGTAAATTTCATATAGGTGATCTTTAGAAAATAACCTTGCTATTCAACGGTAATTAATAAGACTTACAGAAAAGAACAGTTAAGCAATAAACTGAAAGTCATACTTGTTATCAATATCTGGAAAACTCACTTGATCTGTTCTTGCACTTTCTTCATCAGCTCATCATTTTTTGACTGCAATGCCTGAATGCTGTGAACATCACAAATGTTGATTTTTTTATGTAATAACCCCAGCATTTATGTTATGTAATTATTTTAGGTACTGTTTCTTATATATATTTCTATATTCTCATTTCCTCGGGGTTTTATTGTATACAGAGTCCATGGATTTTTTTAGACCAGGCTAAGTACAGGTTCACTCCATTCATGCTCAATATGTCCACGTTTATATTTCGTGTGTATAATTCCAGCCAATGTATATGTTGGGATTCTGACCCTTGTACGGATGGCCTAAATGTAATTGAAACAACGTTGGAAATATATACTCTGTCCGTTACAGATTCGGCCGTGTAATGATGACAAACTCTTTATCATTAACTTTCTAGTCGCCTTTAAATATTCATTGGCGTAATGTGTTTTTTGTGAAAGGTGTGTGGAGTTAGACGTGATATATATATATATATATACATGCAAATTAGTATATATTTAATGTAACTAAATTGAATATAGTGTACGTTATTGTCTTCCTTGTTCGTATTCCGAACTACAATATCGTTCTATAATTCTGTGCCCCTTGATTGTGATTGTTTTAATCTTTTTTTCAGAGAGGCGACTTTCACTATTATTATTATTGATTGTAATATGTCTAATAGAATATATACTACGTGTAACAATATGTTTATTGAATGTATTTAGGTATTATCATTGAAAAACATTTTACTTAAGAAATAATATATACTACTAATTATTCCGTTTTTAAATAAATGTACTTTTCAAAATACCATAGAATGATCTGGTAGAGACGACCCGGCTAGTGATGGTATCGATATTGTAATGTCATTAAATTGCAGTTCGGGTCGCGGATTGTTCATACGAGTGTCTCAATATTTTACTGATCAATTTCTTTATAAACATGTTTTCTCCGCAAACAAAATAGATTGTACGTAGTCAAAGACAGAACTGCGTGAAGTCGTAGATACTTAAACAAAACTCTTGCGAAGGAAAAAACAGTAAAGACAAAAGAAAAAAAATATGAAAAACACTCACTGATGCTAATGCTAAAATTAGCAAGAGTACCGCAAAGCGGAACAAAATACCCCCGTGAATATCCAAAACAAAGAAGATAATTCAACCTGGTGTACTTTGGTGGAAGTCAGAGGTCGAAGGCAAGGTCGCAGTGACCTACTTTTGGTACACGACACACCGTCTCACCATGATGCACCCACGTTTCAGTATCAAATGGTGTAGGACAAGGCTTTTCTTTGATAGAGGTCAAAGTCACGGTCACAGTGACCTACGTTTTGCATGGGACACTCTGTCTCACCATGGTGCATTCACATGCCAAGTTAAGTTCCAGTATGAAATTGTATGGGAGTAAGTACAGACCAGATTGCGGGGCGAACGGAAGGACAGACAGAATCGACACAAAACTATAGCCCCCTTCTGGTTCCTGGTTGGGGACTAATTAGAGGCCCATTTAAATGAGTCGCATTGTAAGTGTACATGTGACTGGCAAAATGTTGGTTAAAATTTGGTAATAGAGAATTATGAATGGATCTTGGTGTCCACTACCAAAATCAATAATATCTGATATTAAGTAAAGTGATCAATTCTCTGGCTACTTTTCTATCTTTTATCTACTTTCCTCATCTTTTGTCTAGTTTTCCTATCTTTCCAAGTAAACTATTCAAATTCGAGGTGATTCTAAGTTGTATTTGCAAACGTTTTATCTTCATCCAAGGAATACACCAGCCACATATCAGGCTCCACGTCTTTTAGTTGATGAGAATAAGTTGCTAAATTGTTCTACCGGTATTTATTTGACTCTTTCGACTAGTGGTGTTCCGATTAATCGAGTTCGTCGAGTATTGGTTAGTTGGGCCAGCAAACTGTTTAATCGAGTAAATATTTCCATGATCGATTTTCGTCGGAATATCTTTTCATAGATATGATTGGCAATTCCCAGCATTGCAATTCGATGTCAGATAGATAGATCTTATAGAAGAAAGGTCGTATTATCTGTCGTTTCACACCGCGTCTTTCGTGTCATTTGCGGAACTCAAGCGCTTCCGCTTACAGTTAATTCCTTACTTAGAGGGACATCACTCGCATATCAACCAACATGTCGACGGTCGAGCTGCCCGCGATCGGCACTCTCATTCGGAACGAGACGTTAAACCAAGGTACAGTATTCAGTACGGTCATGTCTTAAACATATTGGCCAATAGTCCAAATACAACCAAGTGGCGTGCTTGTTATTCAACTGTTTATAATTTTTTTATATGGCTATTGGCCAATAAATGACTAGACATTGTAGTAATGGGTATTGGTCTTCACTGCATTCCTCATTCTTTCTCAACTTTTCTCGTCCGTGAAAAACCTTAAAATGTTGATTCACCTTCCACCCACAACAATTTAATCACTCAAAAGACAATAAAATTGATATTCCAAACAAATTTACCAACAGAAATATTTCTGTTTTGTAGGCAATACTACAACTCTTCTATTCTACCTGGATCATGAACATAAGGAAATAAACCCCCTAGGAGTATCAACTTAAAGTAAAATGTCTGTCCAACCAACACTTGTTGAATTGTCACAGAAAAGAAATGATCCAATTCGTCCTCTTGTAGCTTCAAAAAAGAACAAAATAGATGAAAATCTGGCTTTGATGTTTATCGATAGACTCCTCCCTTTCAGCTTGGTTGAAAAACAGTCATTTAGGGTTTTTGTACTTCAGCTGAAAGAGAGATATACACCACCTGGGAGGAAGGCGTTACTCACACACTACACAGAATGTACAACAATGCAAATGATAATTGGGTTTGTATGTTGAATGGCGTTAAGGATGTAGCCATAACCAACGATGCCTGGACCTCCATCAGCACTGAAAGGTTTGATACAGTCACAGTCCATTTCATTACCGAGTCCTAGGAGCTCAAGTCAGCAGTGCTCAGAACAGAAAAAATCCCAGAATCACACACATCGGAGAATATTGCTTCGAACCTGACGGAAACTATTGCAAAGTGGAAGCTACCATCTTGCATTGCTACTACAGATAATGCAGCAAACGAGAAGAAAGCCTGTGATATACTTGGTATGCAACGACTTGGATGTTTGGGGCACTTGTTGAACCTGGTAGTCAAAGCGGGACTTGCCCTCCCAGAGTTGTCCAAAACTATTGTCAAATAAAGGACCATGGTGACTTACTTCCATCAAAGCAAACTTGCCAGCACAAAACTGGCTGAAAAGCAGAAAGCTCTACTTGATGTAAACCTCCAAGGTCACAAGCTGATTCAAGATGTTCCAACGCGATGGAACAGTAATTTTGAAATGTTGGAACGTACAACAGAACACTCTGCAACCTTACATGCGACACTTATGGACCAGTCACTTGGCAAAAGAGGTCAGGAAATGAGAGCAAAACTCCCGACAGATGAGGAGCAGTTGTGTGTTGACGCTCTTATAACCATTCTGCGACCGTTCAAAAAGACTACGATCAAGTTGTCTCCAGAAAATACTCCAACACAAAACTAGTTGTTCCAGTCATGAAAAAATCTCATCAAGACAATTGAACCACACACAGAAGATAAACCTGTTCTTGTGAAGTTGAAGGAGGTCATGCTCGCAGAGCTGATGGATCGTGATGCACAAAACTTTTGGCAGTCTATTAAGCCCTCACTCGAGACACTTGGGCTTTGTTTCAGAGGAAGAACGGGCGTTGGATAGAACGCTACTCTGTGAAGAAATGATGACTCTGGATAACCAAACAGCCATCAAGACAGAAGCTGTAGAACCTGAATGTCAAGAATAAGAGTCAACCTCGCCCATGAAAAAAATCAAAATGGAAAACAATGAGAATTCAGATAATATCGACGAAATGAATGACCCATTTTTGGATGATATCATCTGCTGTGGTGTTGAGCCAGGATCATTACCTGTTGAAGTGCAAATACAGCAGGAAATTGACAGATATATGGTGGAACCTAACTGTAAAACCGATGTCCTTAAATGGTGGAAAGACCACGAGTGTTTCCATCCAAGAATTAGCAGAGTAGCCAAGAAAGTGTTGTGTGTTCCAGGTAGCAGTGTTTCATCTGAGAGAATCTTCAGCACTGCTGGCAATTTGGTTAACAAAAAAAGAAGTAAGCTCAAACCTGAGGATGTTGATCTCATGGTATTTCTACACAAGAACAAGAACTATATCGATCTAAAGCTTACAACCTGAATACTTGGTCAGTGCAAGGTCATCGGAAGGACAGAAACTCTAGTACAGTAGTACAAGTCTACTTTATTCCACCACCATCAAAACTGTTGTGACTAATAGAAACAAGAATGACTTTTATTGGAGAGGCTCATTTGGCGATATACTGATTACTGACGGAGCCAGTTATCATGCAACTAGCAATTGATTACTAATTACGGGTTCAATGTACTTCAAACACTTATCAGTTATCTATATTAGTAGTACATGTAGTAGTACAAGTAGTAATTACTACCACTACCAGTTCATTATCCGAGGTAATTTCTGAGAAATTATTTCCATGTTGCCAATAACTGTCATTGTTGTGTTGTGCTCTAGTGTGCTCAGTTGTTTTGAGCAATCTTTTATTTTTTTGTCACACAGTTATAAAAAAGACACTTAACCACTTTAGCATTTCTCCATTTGATGCGTGATATTGCACTTCTCCCCTAGTCATTAGTACTAGTCATAAACCATGGTATATGTCCTCAAACCTCTCCAGTAGATGTTTACTCCATTCAAGGTCAGTAACCGATTATTAATCGATCATCGGTTACTTATACTTAACTGATGATCGATTACAGAATTACAACGGATTCCCACCCCTTCTTTTGACCTTAAGTATAGGTAATAGTCATTTCTTTTTGCAAACTTAGATTCATCCGAAGTCACATTTTAAAACATTAATATTGGGTTCAGTGGTTTATGAGAAAATGTTGAAGTTGATGATGGACGTCTGACATTGCACCATCAGTTATATGACTAGGGCAGTAATACAATCAGGTTTGCTTCTTCCTTCATGCAATTATAACACATCTTATCCAAGTGATTTTTACTGGTTGCTGGCATTGGATCTCAATCAAATGTACTTTTGTTTATTTTTGCATCAATATCAAAAAAGGATCTAATGCAGTTCTGTTTACTTTTGTATCAATATTAACAAGAATTTCATAGAAACGTGTTGCTTGATTTGGACAAAAAATTATCTTTGGTTACAATGACCTTGACCTTTGATCCTCGGACCTGAAAAGCAATCCCTAGCAAGCTCTTTTGGTGAGGAAGAACTTTATGGACTTTTGAAGATGGTCAACAAGAGGGAACTCAAGTTATCGTGAAAAAAGCTTGGTGCCGATGGTTTGGTTTGGCATGATGCACACCACATGAAAACTTAACTTCATGTCGTGATCAAGTTTCATAAAGATTGGTTGAAAAAAGTAGGAGGAATTGATGAAACGATCCTAAGACGCTTTTTATTTTACAGAGCCTTTGGCGAGGTATAATGAAAAAGTTTCATAAATCTCACATCAACTGGAAACGATTATAAGATCCTTTTCATCACATGATCAAATATTCACTCAAATTTATCGTAAAAAATATTGAGTAATTGAATACTTTTGGAATGGTTCTGTATATATCATCTAATTAACCGCCATCCAGAAAAATAAAAATCATGTTATAGATTTTGTTTATATTTCATATCATGGTGATTCAGCATACAAACTTTCATAAAGATCGGCTGAAAAATGTTGGAGGAGATCTCCGGACAAGATTTCTATAGAGAAAGAAGCAAAGGGGCATAACTCTTATTCAAATCGTCTAATCAAAACCCCGTTCAGGAAAACACAATTTCATATCATGGTGATTAATCCTACCATAAAGATCGACTGTGGGAGGAGATCTCCGGTCAAATAAAAGTTTACGACGGACGCCGGACGGACGGACAGCGCCATTTTTTTCTTTCGACGGGCGTATAAAAAGGCACAGAGCGACAACGACAAGAACTTGAGCATGGTGCGGAACGATATTAGTGTGACGAAAAAGTAAAATTTCACCTTGCGAACAAAACGGTTTCATGATCAACAGCTAAACGGCGTAGAGAGTGTAACTGAAATTAGCCCTGCAGATAGCGAAAACATGTGAGGAAGGAACAATGAAATCTAACAAAAATATTGATGAATGGGGACGTACAGCGGAGAACATACAGAAACAGTACAACGAACTAAAGAAACTGATAAATCGTGTGTGTGCAAAAAAGTAAAAACGGTAGCATTTCTAACGGTACATGCACGAAAGCAAATCATAATGTCACCACCGAGGGCAGGTGTAACGGAACGGGTGAATGTCGCAGTATCGAACCGTTTCATTGCACTGGATCCGCGCAACGAATATGCTCATAACAGGAGTTATGGGGGTGTGATTTTGAGCAGCGATACACGTCAAGACAAATGCGTCAACTTTGTCCGAGACGCATGTTACAATGCAGGGCGTATAAACGTAGTGAACAGCGGGATAAACATTTGCTCTACAATACCGGTACATTTTCCATTGTCAGCCTGCAACAGCGGTGAAGATAAAACTAAAGAACTAACCGTCAAGTTTGTAGGGTATAATAGTCCGGAGAAACACAGGATTAGTCCCTTTTACGTGTATCGCATTGCGTTCGAGGCGTCCATGGGGAGCTTTTTGGGACAATACAATGTATGTGTGACGTAATTATGATATTTTCAGAAGCGACGGATCGGGTCATAGCTGAACCTGTATTCGAAATTGACGCTTTTAGGCATAAATGTAATATCAGAAATGGGGAAGCCATACTTAGAAAAAGTCAAAATTTAAAGTTCTCGAAATTGATATTGACAACCTCAGATTGGTATCCACTAGTCAAACCGTGTAATATTTGCTGTGTATTTGCCAGCGGCCACTAGATCTAATGACGTTTTTTGATAAATATGAGCGTACGGTTCATATCAGAAGTTCTAAGACAGGGCACGTTTAATCTATTTATGTTCAAAGTATTTGCGAGAGGCAGGTTTTGGTCATATATTAATAGGAATCTCGTGACTACGACCTTGTTGAATAGTGTGAAGATTTAGACGAATGTTAACTCAATGTATCTCAGCACAGTCCTGTAATTTGTACGTATGGCTATTATGTAAAACGTTAGATTTCATTTGCATGAACGTATACGACGTGCATGCAATAAGTTAAAAAGTGGTACAATATTCTTAATTGAGTGGTGCACACCCTAGTGCTGTAAACCCAGTGAATACTGATAAACTTATAAAATAATCTGTGTATACGTCAACACTCTATGGTTGTGAGCTTTGGGTTTTATCTAGGAATGAAGTGCTTATGTTAGAATGAGAATATAGATTTATTGTGAAAGCAATTCAGGGATTTTATCTTTTCAAAGGTGAAACTCTATATAGATGTAGACACGTAAATATAACTACAAAGGTGATGTCATAATCTCATTATAATGTGATGTATGTATACTACTATGTTGGAGTCTTCAGGTCAGAACTATTTACAACGGGCAATACATATACAAGGTCCGTCATAGACGAAAAGAGCCGATAATGGAATTAATTCATATTTCTCATAGATAAACTGAATAGTGTGTCCATTGTATCCGTAGTAAGAAATGAGTGTGATAATTACGCCAGTGATGGATAACGTGTTTTGTTTATAATTTAAAAGAACTCGCCATTTACCAACTATTATTTACCATTTGTTTAACCTTACTATATGGATTTCACATTCACAGAAAGGATTCGCAAAATACTTGCATTTGTTTTGATCTTAACTATACGAATAGAAATATATATGAGCATGACAAGTCGAATGCATATCAACAACACTTTTTTTTCCTAGTGGTACTAATACAAACGCATGTTAAGTAGCTCAGCCTGAGAATTTTGAAAGAAACATATATCATTAATGCGTGATCAACGATGCAAAAATTAGTTGATTGGAGACTTGTATCATCCGCACTGAGAGGGAATACTGTTTAAGTTGAAGGAGTAAGATTATCTTGGTATATGACAAAATCATATACCCACCACTGCAGTCACTGCGACTGAAATTGGAGTCATTAAACAACTTGTTGGTGATTATATCGTATAACATGAATTACAGTTATCAGTATCGTCTACCTACCTATTTAAGTATATATTGAGAAACAAGATGGAAGTAATTTGATCCGTAATAATGAAGTCATTTAATTTACAATGTTCACTTTATCACAATTTGAAAAACAAAAACGAACACCAAACTTACTTGGTCTGATCTTGCATAGTCTGTTTTGTCAACTCATCAATTTTCGTTTGCAATGTCTGCAAGAGATCTTGGTCAGCTTTCTCCCTGTGAAATCACAAACGTGCAGGTGACATACTTTTGATAATAACAGCACAGATATTATTTTTGGTACTGCTTATTTTCTTCCTTATACCTAATTATCAGCTATGGTCATTGTATCCGTAGTAAGAAATGAATGTTAATGAAATGCTGCAATTAGAAACTACTTCTCGACAAGGTCTATGTTTACATGGTTTATACCAGATTATAATTAACTTCAATTATATTTTGAGACACAATCTTAATGATGATTATTCATATTGTGATAATTACGCAAGTAATGGATAACGTGTTTTGTTTATAATTTTAAAAAAACTTGCCATTTACCAACTATTATGTACCATTTGTTTAACCTTACTATATGGATTTCACATTCACAGAAAGGATTCGCAAAATACATGCATTTGTTTTGATCTTAACTATACGAAAAGGAATATATATGAGCATGACAATTCGAATGCATATCAACAACACTTTTTCCTAGTGGTGTTAATACAAACACATGTTAATTAACTCAGCCTGAGAATATTGAAAGGAAATATATACCATTAATGCATGATCAACGATGAAAAAATGAGTTTATTAAGACTTGTATCATCTACACTGAGAGGGAATACTCTTTAATAACGTGTTTCGTTTTTTGTTTATAATTTAAATTATTTTAGAGAACAATGCATCAAATTGTTTTTGTAAAACTCTTCGTATACACGGGGAAACAAAGTGTAAGTAATCTGATCCTTAACATAATGAGGTCACCTATATTACATAAATTATCATTTTATTGGTGTGTATGAACTATCAATATTATGTTTATCATACGTATTTTGACAAAATTCAACGATTTCTACAGAATGATCAGGATATTAACAAATTATGTCTATTTCCCCTATCTGACTTCTAATCTCCCAGCCCCGAAAGCCACGACCCACTGTTTATAAAAAAAACAAGTCACCTTTACTCAACGATGCTTCAGACCATATATTCAAAATGCGAACATGCCTACAGGTGGAGCAGATTTTTTAAGAATTTGTTCCTTCTGGCCTCGACCTCTCAAGCACCACAATTTTGGCAAAATCTATTCATAGAATCATAGGGAATATGATTTTAATGCATTTGCTCTATTTTTCATATTAGCTATCGCAATTCCTAGCCCTAGGGACCAAACACCACTATTTATACAAAATTGATTTTCCTTAATCCAGGATTGTTTAAAACCCATCAAATCTAATCATTCCTGCTAAAAGAGTAAGATCTAATAAGAATTGGCTCACTATCCCCTATTGAGTGTTTTCCCTTCCGGTCCAAGGTCCATGATCCAGTATCTATTACAAAAATCATCGCAACCCGGGAATGCTTGAGACCAAATTTCAGTAAAACTCAACATTCCCGCAGAAGGGGTAGGATTTAAGATTATTTGCTCTATTTTCCCATTTGAGTCCTGTACATCTTGCTCGGGGTTGCAAGAACCATTATTTATAATTTTGATTCCCTTTTATATTCAGACCAAATTTGGGCTAAATCCAGACATTCTAACAGAAGGAGTGCTCTTGTTATAGGAACGTGAACATCCAAGAAAGGTCAAACGTCAGTACAATGTATGGCTGTGAACTATACTGCAGCATATTTCTTGAAAAATATGTCAAAATCAAAGAAGAAATAAAAGGAGGGAGAAATCATAAACTTTGCACGTCTATTAGCAACCCTGTTTTTGTGTTCAAACTCAACAGTACAGGTTAAAGGCCATTGCAAAGGCGTTGCTTTCAGATAAATTAATGACATTTTGTCGTTTTAAAAAAAGAAATTAATTGACCACGTCTATCGTATTAACCGAAGAAATTTTGAAATCAAGGACACAACATACTATTCTTCATCAGTCGCTTATCTCTCGCTTACCACCAAGCTGTCTGATAAGCGGATGATTTCAATTCAATATTGTGATTTTTCTATTTCTTGATAGCAACCTCTCTGCATTCCCAACATATAGTTTAAGCATGTCGCTGCTGATTCGATATGTAATTCCCTATGTCCTTTAGCTAGAAGTAATCAAATGAAGATCAAAGTCGTGGCAGTGTTTCGAAAATGCAGGTTGATAAAAATAATGGGAATATCTAGCGGTCGTCATAGCATTTCATTAAGGAATATTGTATTTCTTTGTACGATATGAAGAATGTTGCTCTAATCCTCCAATTCCAGGAGGTTAAACCTTCCTTTGATATTCGGTTTAGAATGTGTATCTACTACGTGAAACAATGATGTTATCTACGAGGGCGATACGTCCGCCATATAAATCCTTCCATGGAGCATTTAAGATAAATGCCATTACATACTATATTGATTATAATTCAAGATGTTAGGGATATAATAAACAGTTGCTCACCTCTGTGTAAAATTCTGAATTTCATTTTCTAGGCGTTTGACCTTTTCTTCATCCGACTCCTCCCTGATGGATTTAAAAGAAATGGAATTTAGTCAACTTTTTCTGTTAAATCAACTAGATGAAACGCGTTATACCTCACTGTTACATTGACATTATAGCATGATGCTCAACATCAAAATTTCAAAATATGCAATATTTATAGTTAATTGCTTATCTCCATGTAAAAGACCTATTGATTATAATACTTTGTTATGATGTAGTTAGTTTAAATTACTACATTGGTTTTAAAATAGAAAGATATATAATGAAAGTGCCGACTTTCGTTTGTTGGTATTAAATATATCTTACTATATGGAATGACTAGTATGTGGACTTTGAAGAACTCCATGGAGCTCTTGACCAGACTTTAACTCCCTCTTCTAAAAAACACATTTCTCCTATAATAACATTTGATTTGCCCATCCTGTTCAGAACCATAACCTACTCTAAACTGAAAGTATGCGTCTTTTCTCCATTTAAGAGAGCTTTCTTATCCAAATAAGGCGAACGGCAATATAAATATATGGTTGTGAATTATACTGAAGCCTGTTTCATTATATATATATATATATATGTATGTATATTAAAGCAGAGATATACAGAGGACAAAATCATCGAAATGATCGAGTTTCTGGCAGACTATTGGCAGACCTATGGGAAGGAACTGTTCCGCCTGTGACTGAATAGTTTTTGTTTTCACACGAGGCTTAAGTCATTGAGAGCTTATCACAACAGGTCATAAAGACCTGAAAAAGTCGTTTAGTTTCACTTTCAGATGGAGTGATGACTTCTTGTCTTGATAATAACAAATTAATTGACGATGTCGATCGTATATATATCAACCAGAATCGGAAATCAAAGAGACGACAGACTCCTCTACAGTAGACGCTTATCCCGATCTTTTCATACAACTAAACCAACATGGACAGCTTTCAAGTAAGCTGTGCGATAAACATAATGATATCAATTTCAATATCGGGAATTTTCAATTTCTGGATAGCAACACCAAATTGAGTAATATTCCGGGATCTGTTCCCATTATTATAAGGCATGCATTAATAGAAAACGCTAAAACTAGAAAAATATGAAGTATACGGCAAAATATGATTTATTTCCATGGGTTACTAAAATAGCAGATATGCTTATTAAAAGTGTATATGTACGCTAAAAAATACCTTGTTGATCGTTCATCTCCAATACATACTCGTCCCAGAAACCGTTTCATGTCTTTCAACGGCGTCTCACTTTGTTGAAAAGAAACATCCTCAATAACCATCGGCTCGATACTGGAGTACGTCTTTGATATCCCTGTTTTTGCGGCTTGGACGATGTCAGCTTTACATGTGGCCTTGATACAGGCATCAAGGGAGGCTAAATCTTCCGTAACTTCTGCGATTTTTGTCTGGATGTCACGCTGTTTCTGCTCAAGTCTCTGGCGATTCGATGCCTTGATTTGTCTACATTTAGTCTTGAGCTCCTTTACCAACTTGTCTACCTCGGAATGAAGTTGGTCTCCTCTTTTCTCAATTTCGTCCAGAAGATCTGAAGGTTCTCCGTTGTAGGCTAATAATTCTGCTTCTTTTTGTTTTGCCAATTTTTTCAGAGGACCAAGGATGTTTTCTTCAGTGTTTTTGTTCCATTCCAGAACTTTCTCTTTACAGACCTTTAGGTGCTCCTGTAGCATTGTAAGTTTATGTTTAGCGTGAGTTCCTTCCTCAACAATGCACTGCGGGCATACTAAGGCTGCATTACATCCGTCCTTACAGCAGACAAACATAGCTTCTGTGTCTGGATGTCTTGGACACGGTGGATCTATCGCACTTCTAAGATAAACTTGTGCCATACCTTCAGCCATAGTTAGCATTTACCTGAAATTATATATGACCTTTTAAAAAAGAATTAATCTAAAGTGTTGCATTGATCAATTAAACGTAAATAGCGTAATGGATAATTAAAGGTAATAGATTGAAAACGTGTGACTTTATTTGTAATATTTGCAATATTAAATACCGAGTGTAGAATAGATTCGTTAAATTAATGTTACTATTTATTTTGTAAAAGGTCAGAGCTTGATGATATTGACTGCCTCGAATCATTTTAAAAGCCATGGTTGACAGAATTGATATCATGTTCGATCGCTGCCATGCCAAATCCAAAGGCGTCAAATTAACACATTTATTTCAATATTTGCTAAATAATTTAAGTCGCATTAACATGATATTTGGTCTGTAATGTGCTGGAATACAAGCAACGGCTAGCCCATTTACTTAAATGCTACACAAGTTTTACCATATCCACAAATACATTTTTATTAATTGATAATCAAGTTGGATGCTGCAATAACGATTTTGTATTATACATACTTAATCGATTTCTTTTCCCAAAACATGACATATTTAATGGTCCCATCACAAATGATCCGCTTTATTATTGGTTTAGGCATCGATATATCCGTCAATGCGGTATTAATCGATCCCGTCAGCATGAGGAATGTAATATAATCTTACAGTCAGGTAATAATTAATATGTTCTCTTACAAGTCAAATATACAACAGCAGTTTTATTTGTAAGAGCGTCTCATACATATTGCGAATAGGAAAACGTCTACATTTATTGTCAATGTTTGCAATAGTAGTGTTCTGGAACATGATGCACCTAACGTACGCTGAAGTTTGGGCGACATATCGTGTAACAATTGCGATGCCCTTGGTAGGTCGGCAACTGCATGACGCTAGGCGAGATCCATTGTTACTCAATATAAAGCTTAGCTTGTCTATGAAGACCGCTCCACTCACTGCGTATTTGTAGACCATTACAGCATGTATTGCGTTATCGGTAGTATTTACAAACATGCATCTTGCTAACATATTTAAAGGGGAAACAATGCAGCATTAAGTAGATATAGTTAATGTCTTTTTCCTTGACGACATCATACTGTATAACGCGCATCATTTGTGGGAGTTAGTACATTTATTTTTATTGGTGTTAAATTAATGATTATACGGCCTCCCCTATATCATGTATGCACCGTTGGTTTATCAAAAGTAAGCTGTCCTCATTTCAAGCTGATACACGCTTTTATTGTAATTCGATGGACTTCAATAAAGGTTGGGGTATAGTTCAATTTTCTATTCAAATATGTGTGTTTTTGTATGTAAGTCATAGCAGACACGAAGACCACACTCGTGTCTGCAGTGAGACACAGCTTACTTGAAAGATGTAAGAATTAATTTTGGGCAATTAATACGAAATCCTATATGTCAGACTGAGCATGTATGATATATATCTACATAATTAGATATTTAACATAAGTATCTCCCATGTAAAGACCGCCGCGATTGAAACGGATTACCATTCAACAATATCATTATGTATGTCTTTATCCCTCGAGTGTGCCAAGTGCCATGGTTTTTTGGTGTCACAGCGAAACAAAAAGACGCTTATGCGTACTTCATAAATGAAAATCATAATATATTTTATTTTCAGGACACTTTACCGTAGAAAATAGAGAGCTTGATTGGCGTTAAATTGGTATTTCATTTTTTTTTATACTGTTCAAACATCAGAGGAATTATTACTTTTATAACAATAACTTTGAACGTAAAATCTTAAACACCAGAAAACATATCATTGTGAATATTTTACCTGTAAACATCCACAGTTAAGGGGGAAAACATATACTTGTAACGATATATAGTTCAAACCATGACAAGCCAGATTTTTCTGAAGGTTTGGTATTCTTCAGTTTATGATATCTTGGGATTTCAATTTAGTTACTGATCAAAATAATATTTTGACAATTATAGGCATGCAAATAATCCCAAAGCAAGATTTTTTTTTTTTAAGTTGAACAAGATCTAGATGTTACATCGTTCAGACCATTCCACGTCTTTTAAGCTTCAATAAAATTCAACAGGGGGAAAGGGTTTTGGAAGTTTTACTATTTGGAAACCAATATATCTCTTAATGTACATTTAAAACAGGACGCGTAAACAATCTACAATTTGAACGATATACAAAGATCTTTTTTAAACAACTTCGTCAGTTCATGGTAAGATCAATCAATTTCGTTAAAAAAAAATATTTACAGAACTGTATAATGAATTTCTGATTGTGAATTGTTTAGTCATCAATTATCAAAGTGACTCTATTCAAGGAAGATATTTAGGAGAAAAGTTAATGTGTATCATTACCAAAAAAAACTTCCAGTTTTTGTTTTAATATTAAGAAACAGTCTATAATTAACAAGATATGTCTTTGGATAAATTCATGTACACTTAATGACACAATTTCATGTATCTAAAAGGTGCATATTATATGCTGACTATTTTATGCACAATTGCTGATGTTTTCGGTTCTGATTTTAGGACTTCACGCTCTGCGTTTCCTCCTCTCTCTGATGCATACATATGCCATAGGTGTTTTTAACACTTGTCTGTCTACTCCAAGCTTGCATACGCTTCTTAGTAAAATTTAATTGGCTCTGGGTACAATACAGTCTTCTATTTCAGGATACATGCAAGACTGAAGCAAAACGCAGCTAAAAAACCTTCATTTCTATTACAGGCAACAAATAAAGAATCCTTTATGACGGATAGAGGAGGTTTGAGATTATCGGAACAAAGAGTAGACAGCAATGAACAGTATTTAGGACGTAAAGACGACCGCGATTTAAAGAGTACATTAGTTAACAACGAACAAAAATACATCAATACAATACTCTTAAGACAGTTAACTAGTTTAATTTGAATATTGTTGAAATTAGAATGTATCATTAAACCTACATTGACAATTCTTTTATATAATATTGTTATCTCTAAATTCATATATAGTTATTGATGAAAATACACCAATCAATAAACCAAACAGCTGTTTCGTCCTTCATTGCCTCGTTAGTGATGCCTACATATCAATATCTAGACGGGGAGGTGCAGTAGCAATTGGTTTAAAAATCTAAGTTATTGAAAATCCAGCTTTGCATAAATAAGTTGTTACAATAATATTATTGTTTAAATCAGGTCGTCTTTATGCAATCATTTACCAACCCAGAAACTACGGATTGTACATGGTACAGATTTTTTTCAGCTCAGAGAGACAAATGGCGTTGGTTAATAGGTTTGAAATAAGAGTGATATCAGTATATAGCTATGAGCTTTCAATCACAAACACCTTTTCGTTCGTTTTTACTTTCATTTCAGATTTCTAAAACGGTTTTTTATACCAGTGTTTGTGCATGTGTAACAAAATGGGTAGTAGAAATATAATTTAGAGAATATAATTTAGAACAGAAATTTAAAGTACAACAGGTATCTCTGGAAACAATAACAACAGGTGTCAAAAGTCAGGCACTGGACCAGGGTTAACGCCCTGTGATGGACAGGCAGTTTGGTAATCCTTAGATATCAAGGGTGTGCCTCACGCACCTAGCCACTGTGGCGAGATAACTGGAGAGGGATCGTCGATCAGAGTAGATAGAATACTGGACGGTAAAGTACATCGGGATCCCTGAGATAAGGTTACACGAGCTTGCACGTGCCGTGATAATTATATGTCTCGCGGGGTGGGGTATTGTCATCCAATCGGGGCTTAGTTAGAATTGAAGTACTTGGGTATTATTAATACTAAGACAATAGGCAGTGGAAGGGAGAGTAGCCAGAGAAGAGCAGGGGAGTAGTTAGAGACTAGAGCCCGGGACCTAGGCAAGGCAAGGCAAAATCATGGTAATGCTATACACATCAAGTTGATCAGGGTGATGAGTAATGTTCGATAGTATTTTCTCATTTTTTCATTGAAAAGGCCTTAAGTCTTAACAGAAAATTTCCTAATTACATTACAGACTTTACTGCCTTATTGAAATTTGTCATTCTCATTCCACAGGTCGTTGAAATACATCATGTTGATTAAGGATTGAGTTTCCTTCAACCAATGAGGTGTCAAGCCAACCTGGTTGAACACCATACGATCAAGATAAACATCACCCATTCTGCCCCGCCTATCTGTCCAGGGGAGAATGAGACCATTTGCTAACACAATGTATCATGCCATTCGTCAGTCGATATTAAAAAAAGACTGATTTGGTAATCGTAAACGTATGTTACATGTCAAGATTCCCAACAAAAGTTGCAAGATGAGTGGACTCTCTTCGGATCACGGATTAAGAAAAAATGCACCGACTTCTTTAGCCCTTCGATCAAGGTGACCTCACGAGGCGACATAATTGATTAAAAATAAAGCTTTTTGCATGTGATGTCACCTTGAAAAGGTAATAAATATAATATTTACCTATCTGGTTTTCGACGTATGGAATGTAGGTCGATGGTTTTATGTGGCTCTGACGTTGTGATGTCCTCTGTGTAATTGACTGGACCAAAACACTAGCTCGGTATAAAATATGTAATTATTATGCAATAGCCAGCTACGATTGTGATATGAAATGTATACATAATGGACGAACTATGAGATAACGATGCTTTATCTGAATCAGTGTATTAAGTAAACAAAATGAGACGATCATACGGTACACATTTTAAACTGATATGCTGACTAGGATGTGAACTTAGTTGACAACTTTTCCGAAATGAACAGTTTCCGGTGGTACCTGTATATCACACGCATCCAAATTAGTTACCTTCACCGGTGTATAATGCAAATACCAAGCATATTTACTGCAGATGAAGCATACGGGGTCCTTCAGTTTGAAAGTTGAAATTTCATTTAAGTGGTTAATTAGTGTAGGTGAGAGTACCCTTGTTCTTATACAAAACAAGTGTAAGTATTATATTTCAGTTCACAATACTTCAGTCCAAAACAGATTTTCTCTTTTGTTCATTACTTCCTTAAGAAAACCATAAAAAT